TGACCGAGTCTTCACCGTACTCATGACAAATAGGTTCGATGTTGGCATACCCCTTGAATATTCAATGAAACTTTTAAGTTGGACGTAGTTAAGATATTTTTTGTTTTTCGTTTCGTCAAGATATTTTTTTACAGATGATAGATAAAGGTCGAGATTTAGTGGTTCCGGTTTAGATTTCTTTTTTAACCGACTTCGAAAAGGAGGAGGTTACTCAATTCGACATGTATATTTTTTTTTCTTTTTTTTTTAATGTCTGTTCACCGATTACGCCGAGATGGCTTGACCAATCGGAATAAATCCTGTTTCATCTTGTAGAGCATGTTCCCCCGGTGATCCTGCTGTCAAGACTTTTGCGATTTGTTATTTTTTACCCGTATTTTTACCAAAAAACCGTGATTTTTAGGTATGCTTGCCGATTACGTCGAGATGGCTTCACCAATCAGAATAAAACCTGTTGCATCTTGTCGAATATTTCTTCCAGTTGGTCGCGTAAAAGAATCGTTTTGTGATTTGTCAGTTTTTACCCGTTTTTTTTTTTTTAACAGAAACATTTTGTCTTGCTTCTTACTCCGAGACGGATGGACCAATCAGATTGAAACTTCTTGCATCTGAAAGAGCATTTGCCATTTGGTCCCATTGCAAAACATTTGTCCTTGTCTTATTTTTTACATTTCATGATACATGAATTCGTGATGTTCCCATTTGCAAAAATTTATGGACACTTTTATTGTTTATAAAACCATTGTTCGTGCGAAATTGCTATGCTCTGGTGCAGCTGGACAAGGAATTTACCAAACGCAATCAATCCTTTCACATGTAGTTGCAGATGTATTCCTGATAATCCCATTTGCAATTATACAGGGTGTCCAAAAAATGTTGGATGTCCTTGAATGGGGTGTTTTCGGGGGGGGGGGGGTGATTTGAAACAATTTTTTCTTAACGAAAATGTTGTTCGAGGCTTCGTTAAGGAGATATTGACAGAAACCCTCGACCAATCAGAGCGCGAGTATGCCGGTGGAGCGCCTGCGGTAGCATAGGCCCCGCAGGCGCTCCTCCGCCATACTCGCGCTCTGATTGATCGGAAGTTTCTGTTTCTGGAATATCTCCTTAACGAAGCCTAGAGCAACATTTTTGTTACGAAAAAATTGTTTCAACCCCCCTCCCCCCGCCCCCGCGGAACAAGTCTTTTCAAGGACCTCCAACGTTTTTGGGTCATCCTGTATATTGCTCATCACTATTGCTATTGCATGAAACCTATTGGTTATAGATTGCCACTAAAAAGAGTGAAATAAAATAATTTTTTGGAAAAAAAATTTATGCCACTAAAAAGAGTGAAATAAAATAATTTTTTGGAAAAAAAATTTAACCGACTTCAAAAAAGGTACAGTGAAAAGTATGAAATAATTTCTAGTTAATTTACATGAATACGCACTTGTTCTAGATTTATTTGCTTAAAAGTATGGGAAAATGCAGTGAAAAGCATGAAATAATTTCTAGTTAATGTATATGAATACGCACTAGCTCGAGATATAATTGCTTAAAAGTATGGGAAAATGCAGTGAAAAGTGTGAAATAATGTCTATTTAAATTGTATTGTTATTCACCATCGTTTGATGAATTTGGTTAAATTATTAAATACATCATATTAAATGCAATGCACCTTTTTCGGAGGCGGCGCAGATGTAAAAATTTGTTAATTCCGGTTTGGGTTAGCTTTTGGTAGAGGCGATGTTTAATTTTGAGAGATGATCTTCCAATACTTTATCTGGAATAATGGGGCAAACATTGGATAAAATGACTCTCTTGAATTTCGAAATTAATTTGCAGATTATTGCAACGCCTTATTGTCAATGATAATAACTTGTTTTGATTCCGTGAGTTTGTTTACTATTGAAGTATTTGCCAAATACATGGAGATTCTGTTTAATGACATTTTGAACACAAATCTAATATCAAAAGGGGTAATCAGTGATCCGATCGCTTTAACGTAGTCCTTGATGGGTGTGTCTTCCAAGGCGTCGATGACAATGGCTTGTTCTCTTGTGGAATAGTCTGAAGTTTGGACAGCAGCCGCATAATTGGGAGCTTGAGATGAAGATGGTTTATGTTGAGATGAGATCGTTGAATTTAAAGGTTCCATCCGACTCCTGTAGTCAGAAGTCGTTGGAGAGGGTGCATAACGCACCCTTTGGTGTGACGAAAGATGTGTTAAAGAACACAAAAATTCCACTATGTGTATAACGAAATAATACACTTTTCACTATACTGAACTGAAATATACACGTAACACGTGGCCGCACGCTCGAGAGCTACGACGCCGCGACGTAGACGTAAAACAAAAACGTAAACACGTCTTGTCACTGCGACGCGGTCGAACTGTGAATCTGTATGTACTGTTGGAAATCCTACTTATATTTTTCTCCTATCATACATCGCCTAGCTAACACAGTATTTTCCTTTGCCTTCTCCACTTCCTAAAACCTTAACTTTCACTTTTCCATGAGGTCTCTGTTCGTCAAGAATCCATCAATTTCCCACCCCCAAAAACCTTTTTTCCACGCCAACCGACCTCGCTCACGGTCGCCTACGACCAATTCTTCAGATCATTCCGGGCAGTCAATCGAGCTACTCTAAGCATATTTTAATTGTTAGAACCCAAGAGTAAGAAGTAAAAGTGTTAAATAAATAATTTGTTAAGATTATTCCTTTTCACTTCGATCTGGTTCTCCAACAGTACATTATATGTACATACAATGATAGCAGTAATTTAAGGTCATATGTTTTGTCCCTCCGACAGAAAGTTAAACGAAGTTTGGTAATTTTGAATGTAAGTAATTTTTAATTTTGCGCCCAGATATTACAGACTAGAGGTAGATACAAATTTTTTATTATAAAATGATACATGAAACTTTAAACGCGTTTTTCTCGATATTATGTTTCTCAAACTGTTCGGAAACAACTTGAACAGATGATCATGATCAATTCATTTGAAATTTTTTGTGTAATGAACAATTTCTCAAATTTTTCCCCTAAAAATAAAATTCTTTTTAAACGTGGATAATTTTAACAAACAAAACAAATGTTCACACATAAATCAAGCGCAAAGTTTAAACGCCATTATTGAAAAACGCTACGAACTTTTTTTTAATTCGATATTTCGTGCACGGCTTACAATTAGAATCTCCAAATCAATTGCAACACATGCTGTAATAATTTGTTGTATCAACACTTATCTACTAATATGTAGGACGAGCAAAATCAAAGATCTAAGAAGCAGTAAGTCTTACACCAATTATAATATATTGTAATATTTTGGTTTCCAAAATAAAAAATTGGTTATACCATTTAAAAAGAAACAGAATTACATCCTAAATCTCCTCTACACCTCCATCTGTAGTAAAATCATTAATTGGAATTCATTAATTCCATGTTATGTCTCTGTTCAAACCATAAAACTTTTGTGCGAAACGTATTGTTTGAAATAACAAAAATATTCAAATGATCAGAGTTCTTAGGACACACTGTCTACATAATGTCTAATACATGACGTTACCATTACCGACACATATAATCTGTAACATCACATTTTAGAAACAAGAAATCTATCCACTATTGATAACATGCTTTTGCAACTCTTGACAATTTTTATACTTTTTTTTAAAATTAGTTTACAGTTGTGTCAATCACTTAAATCAGTTACTAGCAACTCCTTGTTCGATTTGGTATATTTCGTATTGCAAATAAAATGATTATTTCAATTAATGGAAGGAAATTTAGGGAGACAACCGATGAAAATATGTTGGAATAAAACTAGATATACGAGTCTCTCAAGAGTCAAATTGATAACCGTGCTTATCGTTAAATTCCTCAATTTTATCTAAATTTTATAGAAACAATTTTTAACATCGTGACCATACTTTAATATTTATTTCATGGAGTTGATGAATTTTGCTTTCGAGAGGGTCGTACGTTCATAGGCTGACGACTATACTTCAAACGTTAACTATTAATGGAATATACGTATTATTTATGTGTACATAAATTTAATTAATTTTCTACAGTAAATGCGTATGTTTAATATTCTCGAAATATTGAATTGAAATAAAATATATTAAGGTAGATAAAAGAGCATAACCTTGATACGCAGAAAGTCATCATGATTATTGAGCAGGAATTGGCTAATCGTAGATATGTATTTACTATTATGATAATGAATTTCTTCAACAATGGACACCAATTTCAGTGAGTAATTGTACTCGATGAGGACCGACATCGGCAGCTCATCTCTTTGCGTCATTAATCTAATCGAGCGTTTCTATCAGATAAATATAGATAAAATCTTGTCGCGCATAATTGCACAATATGGTATTGCAACATATTTGGAAACAATGAAAGAATAATCTTGGCAAAGGTATCTCCAAAATCTACAGGGTGTCTCAGAACTCCTGTAAGAACTGGAAATGGGAGGTAGCTGAGACGATTCTGAACAACAATTTCCTTTGCAAAAATGTCGATGGGGGCTTGATTTTTGAATTATTAACGAAAAACATCGACCAATCGCAACGCCCGATTAGCGCGCGATTAGCCCCGAGAGCATAAGCTCGAGCCAGGACTGGCTGGTTACGCTAGGTCGTGCTAATTGGGTGCTGTGATTGGTCGGTGTTTTTCGTTAATAATTCAAAAATGAAGCCCCCACCGACATTTTTGCAAAGGAAATTGTTGTTCAGAATCGTGTCAGCTACCCCCCATTTCCGGTTCTTACAGGAATTCTGGGACACCCTGTATAAATTACATGTTATTTAATATTGAGTAGCAATAATAAGGCTAGAAATATAGGTGATTATTATCAAGAAAATGTTGTCCGAGTTACTGCGTTCGCTATTGCTCTGACTATGAAACAATCATAGGACAAGAAGGAATCATTTCATGATCTAATGTTAATATATTCTAAAGTAAAAAGTGTAATTAAATTCACCATGTTAAAGATTGCATAAACTTACAATGAATTCTTGTCTACCTTGACCTCTTCTGCCATGTTTTTGACCAGTGGATTGTAAGATCGTTTCCATCAAAGCAATGTCGTCTAGGGCATTAAAAGCATTGCTTAAAGTGCTCATGATAAATTGACAATGCGCTTTGAACTTCATATTAGCTGACAGTTCATCCAGTGGTATATCTTTGAACGCTGGAAACACTTTGTGATACTGTGGGTACTGCTTGAAGTAACTGAAACAAACCTTATATATTTACATGTGAAGTTGGTTTTGCACTCCAAAAATATCTTCTTCGATGTATGTATTCAAATCTCATTAAATTTTTACATGAAAAGGGATCTCTCACAGTCTTGAATAATAATATATTATTTTCTTCTTTTATCTACTGTTAGCTTAAATGAATTTCCACTTGTTTTGTATAATTAATAACATTCACAATTGAACATGAATTTTGAACACACTTGAAAGAAAAGAAAAACACGCATGTCCATCATTATATGCTACATTATGGATACGTATACTAGGAAAATACTTATATTAAAGAAATATAAAGGCACTCACGAGAGAAGTACCTTTTAAACAAATATAATCAGTAATAATCAGAAACGTAGCTAAATATTACACTTCTGAACGTTGACAATTAATTAAACAATAGCACTAGCCGCGGATGTTTATGTAAAATCATATTTCTACAGGTATGGATAAAGAAATTAAATTTAAATAAAAGTATCTCTAAACAGTATAACATGTAGATTATTATTTATATTTTATATATTTTTGAAATTGTGCACATCCTTGTACATTTTAGAATATTTCCAGTTAGCATAACTGCATAAACTTCCACAGTCTAAATATCACTTAATAACGATGACAGAGGGATATTCTTTTACTGCAATAATTGAACCAACGATATTAAAGATTCTACAATAACAATTTCATCGAATACACTAAAACCTAAACCATAGTGACCGAATGACATTCATTTTCCTTAGTTATACTTATATTATAATATTCTACATTAGTACATTATATTACATATGGTGTCTGGTAAGTAGTAGTAGATACAAGTGGTAATACAATTATTCGAAAAATTCATTAAAAAAATTCTTCGATTACGCGTGATGTCACGTCACTGTCTAACTCGTCTGCGTCTGTCTATTGCTCACCGTTTCTACTTACTTTGGTATCTAATAATACAGTATAAGCATCGATGAGAGTATGGTATTATTTGTTTCATCTGGTTCTAACTAATTACAAATTATATTATTCACAATGTGCATAAATTATCGTTCAAAAGAAATTATTTTTTAAATAAATATGTTATTTCTCATCTACTTAGTACGTATCCATTGAAAAATAATTTTTTCTCTCTTTTCTCTGAATTTCATTGTTCTCCGATGTGTGGAAGTGCTCCCTTACGAAACGCGTTGAAATTTCGCGAGCTGTTCCACCCCAAAAGGGGTGCGTATGGGGTGCACGGTATGGGTGATGGCATTTCCTGAGTCAAGGGAGTCCAGAGAATGCATTGAGTCCAAAATCGAGACCGTCGTCCAAAAATTGTGGATTTTAGAGAGGGTGGGAGTTTGTGAGGGGTGGGTTTGTCCGAGAGGGATTTCAAGGGGTGCATTTTATAGAGGGCATTAAAGGGAGTCGCCCCAAAGGTTTCTTTTAATTTTTCAACCTTTTCCGTTATCCCTGGCCTGTTTCAAAGGGGCGTTTTTCTACACCCTCCTCTTTAGAGGGGTGAAGTAACCCCTTCGCGTCAACCCTCGCCAATGCAACTTTACACACGCTTAGGAGACACTTCAAAAGTACTTCTCACGCAGTTTCATTTCAATCGGTTGAAAACTCCCATAGTTACGACGGTTTGAAAAACTGTCCCGCTAATTGTTTGAAGCAGTGTATCTATGTATACAGGGTGTCAAAAAAGTCGCGTAGGAGCCGGAAATGGGGAGTAGCTGAGACGATTCTGAACAACAATTTCCTTTGCAAAAATGTCGGATGGGGCTTCGATAAGGAGATATTAACAGGAAAACACGACCAATCAGAGCGCGCATATACCGTTGGAGCGGCCGTGGTAGCGAAGGCTACGCGCTAAACGGCCACGTCCAATGTCCGTCGATGCACGTGTCGAGTCACTTGTTCGTGTACAAGCGCGGCTCCCAGCGCGTAGCCTTCACTACCACGGCCGCTCCAACGGTATACGCACGTTCTAATTGGTCGCGGTTTTCTGTTAATATCTCCTTAACGAAGCCCCATCCGACATTTTTACAAAGGAAAAGAATTGTTGTTCAGAATCGTCTCAGCTACCCCCCATTTCCAGCTCCTACGCGACTTTTGGGACACCCTGTATAATCTCTTTGGTTTTAAACCTAGAATCGTCTCGAAATGGAAACATTTTATTTTCAACAATTTTGGAGAAATTGCCAAGTACATACAGAAACTTATGCTGTGACGTATCGTTTTTGCCGTATTACAAAATAGTACATTTGTCATTTTAAGTTTAATTCATTATTTGATTATCTCTAATACGTATTCAATGTTTCTCGAATTATTTCTCGACTTGAAATAACGAAACTGTACTTTAAGGCAGAATTACTACAAAATTAACGTTTAGGAACAACAAAATAAGTAGAAATAGCCAATTATAAATAGACGCGTTAATCAAGTCGTAGTATATCGTAATCGTACTCTAAGAATTTTTTAAATTGTCTTTTTTTTTAAATAAAGCCTCGTAGGAGAAAATTTTATTGTATATATTGAGTGAAAAATATATTGACACACTCATTTTTCTTTTAATATATTTATTTATTAATATCTTCATGTATCCTAGTAATACAAAATATACACAGTGATAAATATTACGATATACATATACGAAAATAAAGAACAAAGGGGCAAATGAATTTATCAATTTAATTAGTTTAATCCCATTTCAATAATTGTCATTAACACGTTGGACGCCACGTCTCACTCAGAAATGAGTGGCAGAACTTTTCATTGCGAAACTAAAAAGATTAATTCCGTAGGTAAGACGAGAATAAAAATAGATCTGGATAGGAATTCGTGAATTTGGCGAGGTTAAGAAATTAAATACCACGACAAATGTTAAATTATCTGATCTTCAATAGTTCCGAAATAAATAAATATAATAAATAAATATTTCTACAAAGATAACTTTGTAGAAATTTTCACGTGATTTAGTCTGGCAGCCAACGCGTTATAAGTTGTGACAGAAGTGTCGCTAATAATCCAGCGGTTTTAACATGAAGTGCAACATACATGAATCAAATTGACTTACTTGGACGTTTTAGCCTTAATAAACAACTTAATACAAAGAAATATTTAAATAAAAGTGAGTGTGTCGGTACCTTTTTTATCCACAGTATCCACTGTATTTTAGTGTAAAATGATCATATTGTCGCTGGTAGTACTAATGATCGGCCATATTGTATAAGTATGAGCTCTCACCTTGACATAATCGCAACGCCAGTATTTACAGAATTCGCATAGATTGTATTCCAGGTTTCTCTCACAAGTCTCTTTTCTTTTCCGGTTAATCCGACATTTGGGTCAAGGATACCATCGTCGGGATATCCGTAAAAGTAACTCAGTATAGAACCCATTTTAAGTGTGTCCTCCTTTGCAATTTATTCACTCCTTGAATTTAAACATTGCTCTTTGAAGTACAACTACATATATACAATCATATGCATTTAAGAAATTATTATTACTAAATTACATGTTTTATGTATTTATCATGTTTGCTAATATGAAAAATGTATGAAAAACGTATGCAATACATGCAAACGTATTTAATTTTGCATGGATTCTAAATTTTACAAAAAAAAATAAAATTACCAACAACAAAAATAACTCACCAATGGCTAATACGCGTGTTCCTTGTTTTCTATAAATTACAATTTGGTCAATCCGATAAGCGGTTCTTTCCTGATCCGTTTAAAACTAACTTTTTAGACGTACTCGTTGAATTTATGGAAGCGAACAATGAATTACAATGTACCGTCTGCGAGTGTCTTGCTAAAATGCAGACGATAACAGAATCTCATCTTACATTTGGTCACGTAGTTCGCCTACATGCGAAGTAAGATCATAGTGAGCAGTCAGGTACTCATGAGAATGGTCATATCCAGTAAGAGTTTAAAACGTCACTAAAATTTATACCTTAAAACGTTAACAACTAATTAATAGTATTATTTAAAAACTACAACGATTACAAGAAAATGTTTACCAACGATACTATACTTAGTACAATAACAATTTCAAGGAATAACCTTAAGGCTTGAGCTCTACCATTAACAGTTTCATATCAAATATGCATTTTAAGGTTTGAATAAATTGTATAAATTGTATTGTATTGAATTTACTAATTGTTAATACAGAGAAATCTACTTTTCTCCCAGTGCCAACAATGTAATGAAATAAACAATTACAGATATAAAACATTTTGACTATTGCAAAGAGAAGACGTATTAAAAATAAATTACAGGACCTTGTTATTGTTATTTTTATTTTACCTTGGTAAATAATTCTTACATTGTTTTCTTTTTTTATATATTCATTTATTTATATTATTTCAAATCGCATGGTCCCTTGGGTAATCCGAACCTAACCAAAACCGCATTTGTATGGTATATTTGAATTTATGTGGTGTGAACATATAATACATCGTGTTTAGCCTATAATTTTAGTCAGTACTCTATATAAGATTGATTATTCCTGTCTTTTCTAGATTATATGGATTTCGTTGTCGTTAATAAAATAACGAAATTAGATCTGCACGTAATATTCAAGTATTTTAACGTATAAATACGTTGCACGTATTTTTCTTAAAATTGTTATCTTTAGTCAATCTTGATTTTCTTTAGTTTACAGTTTTTTTTACATAATCTGGCACCTATCATACATCAGACAACTTCTATCTCATTGTCAGTTATTAGGTTAAGGACATATTCTAGTCTAAATGTTAAAAAAAAAAAAAAAAAAAAAATAGGTAAGTCCTACAATAATAAATGATTTTGCACCTCAAAGGTAAGCAAAACTTTTTGCTCTGTCATTTTATTATTAAATAATATTTTAAGAAAATCGCTTTAGGAAGTAACAACAGTCTAAAACGCGATTAAATGATAGGAATGGTACTAGGTGTATTACCAAGGTAGATGATTATGTCTTTCCATGCTCTATAAACGTGTACAAAAAAATATTATGATTCCACTTAAAAAAATAACAAGGACGAATATCGAAAACTTAAAAAATGATGTCTCTTCAAACAGTGTAACTTTGTCTTAAAGATTTTTTCAGCGAATCATAAATATTAAAGACACTCGAGCGTTCCCATTTAAATGCCCCACCCTATACATGTATATTATCAAAACAAATATAAGACATTTTTAAAATAAAGTTCTTTTGGATCGAAACACATTGAAAATCATTGTACACTTATAATCTATTTTTTGTTCTATTTATTATAACAACACTTTTACAACAATGTTCAAGACAAATTCGGAAATATTATAGAAGAATTTATAATAAATAATCTGAATTTTCACAAAATATGAATTTAAGACGGATTGGAAAGGAACTTGTCAACCACGCAACCGTTCCATATATAATTACAACGTGTAGTAGCAAAAACTGGTGTCATATATCCAAGAATCGTATCTGCAGATAGTAGAACGTTATTACTATCACTTGTAAAATATAGTTGATATTAGAAATAATACTATCTAAAAAAAATTGTTGATAATGAATTATCGATTATGTTCAATCTGAGCATTTTTGTCGATGATATAAGTTTCATGATATCGGAAGTAACAGTACTAGCGACTGTTAAGACTGCGAAGACTATCATTGTTTCCTACTCAAGAGCAGTGTCGTTATCTTGTAGCAACTGCGATGTTTATAAGATGAACGCAATCCCAGATACTTCTATCAGTGATAGAATAACTATTCCACGGGTACGGTTTCCAGATTCGAACCTTGTGCAACATATCGATATCTGCATCCAAGAGTATTTCGAAAGTAAAAACACCCTTAAAGTTCCTCGACTCTCCGTAGGTAAGCGATCGTTACGTATCCTAAGGAGTTATAATAGTGCATCAAGTCTAAAAAAACGTTGTTACCTTTGGAAAATTTTGTTCGGAAACAGGTATGTAATTTTATTAAACATTTATCTTATTACTGGAAGGTGGACAAATTAAACTACGAACGTACTACACTTCAATATTAAACTGCAATTTGTGAGAGAGTTATAATTAATGGTGTAGAATCATTGCGCCTGGACAAGCGAAAAAATATCTAATGAACTTTGAAACTTTGAAAATTGAAAACAGGAGGTAAAGAAATTTTTGGTTGAATTTTACTTCGGGGCACTAAAAATTATTTACTTTTTTTATATCGTTTAGTAGATTTTAGTAGATCATAAAAATGGAAATTTTAATGTTAGGAATCCAACAGTTTAAAAGTTATGAGTATTTAAAGTCGAGCACTTTTGACATATTTGACTGGTTAATGCGACGCCATATTGGTTTTTACCGATGCTTTGATGGTCAATTAGGTAGGTAATGTCATTCTTCCGATCACTTGTTGTAAACAGGTGTTCCTAGGTGGTGCAAGATTAAACAAAAATTTATGTATTTTTGTTATGTATTTTTGTGTTATTTCTTTATTTGTCTCTGTAGAGGAGGGCGAGGGAATGACATTAAAATGGCACAATATGTTACGAAAATATTGTCGAAGTAGGTTCAAATCTAATTTTATAGTGGGTTTCGCCCTTTCGACATGCTTGTAAGTTTTGATTTATCGCACACAAACGCACGTCGTCTACGAACATCTGTTTACAACAAGTGATCAGAAGAATGACATTCCCTACCTAATTGACCAACACAGCATCAGTAAAAGTCAATACAGCGTCGCATTAAGCAGCCAAATACCCCAAAAGTTCTTAACTTTAGATATACAACGTTTAACCGTTTAACTTGTAAATCGTTGGATTCCTAACATTGAAATCAGGAAGTAAGGAAATTTTGAAATCAACGTCAATTTAGTTATCATTAAATCGAATTATTTTTCTTTTGTAAAACTTCCGATGTATCGTATAATGAATAGAGAAATATATAGAAGAAATTCAATGTTCGAATTTGAACAGATACAAGAAGTCGAGAAATAAAAACGAAATAAATCCACATACTTAACGATAGAGCAGCCTGTCAGACCGCTCGTCACCAATTACATTACACAAAACCATGTCACCGGTTAAAATTTAAATCCCAATTTCTTATTTGTACCTGTAAAAGTATGAATTTGTATAAACATCCGCAGTCGACTAATGACAAAGTATCAAATGCTACGTAACACAAAACCACTTTAAAAAAAAAATTATCCACACTGGATCATAATTTCAGCATCGAAAACTGAAGGTTTAAAGTTTCAACGAAGGATAGGTGTAGTTCGTGAATGAATGTATTGGATTGTCCAGAAAATTCGTACCAATTTCTAAGAAAAATTAAAATCAGCATATTTAAATTCTAACATAGATTTATTGGATGATGTAGGTGCAATTGTGTTCCACAAAGCTTTCTCCTTCATACACGTCATTTGAAAATTCCATCCTTTCAACATTTCTCAGAACTTTTTTATGTCGACCAAAGAGTTGTCTGAGTGAAGTCTGGGTTAAATCTGGGTCACGTCTAGAATGATATGCCATTAAGGGAATTTTGTCAAGATCTAAATAAGTGAAAATTCGAGTATGCAAAATCCCCCCTTAATGAAAGGAAAATTTAAAGAAATTGTTATGTGCATTTACGCTGAGAATTTAAATAAAACACACACACACAAAACAATCCAATAATCACGCGCCAAATTAATATTGAGTGATCTTGCGCTTCGTCTCGGAATTCTCAGTAGACTTATCGATAGGGCTGCATCTGACAATTCTTGCCCTAGACGCGTCGTCTCTCGTTGTGTTAATTTTCGATACCGTGGCAATTGATTTTTCGACAAATGCACGTGTTGAACTCTATTCGACAAATCACTCGTAAATCAACATATCAATTGGCTAAATCCAAAGATTATTCGACTGATTGATTGTGGAAAACGAAGATGGTTAACGAAGTCTGGATGGTCGACCTCATTCAATCCATCATATGTAGACCTGCTGTAGAACCAGAATGAGTTGAATATCAGAGATTCTAACAACCAATTGATACGTGAATTAAAATCAGAGCTGCGTCTGATATCGCGTCCGTTTACCTTGATGCGAAAACTTCGATCAGAACCGTGTCTGATGTATTCCGATGAAAAGTTTAGGGAAAACTAAATGACGGCAGATCGACTCGATTCATTTGGGTGACGGGGGAACAGGAAGAAAAGCGAGTGTAATGCATTCAAGTATCCGACGAATTTTGTCAGTGGATCGAGACAAATGGATTACGATTCTTGGATTACGCGTGTTGTCACGTCACTGTCTGACTCGTCTGCGTCTATCCATTACTCGCCGTTTCTACTTACTTTGGTATTTAATAATTATATGATTAAACGAACTTACCTAAGTGAAGTTCTATCATAACGTATGAAGCGCCTCTTTCGAGATGATCAACCTGTAGTACCCCCACTTCCCGCCGATATCGCCACAAACTTCAAAGCTAAAAATAAGAAAAGGGGCGGGCATCGCCTCCCCTATCTGCACGCCCGTCATGCCTCATTATTTCAAAGCAACGCCGTAACAATTATATGGGTGTCAATGACGAAAGATTGACTTAGGGATTTATAGGGTGGGGTTGATCATTTCGAAAGAGTCGCTTCATACAATTATGATAGAACTTCACTTAGGTAAGTTCGTTTAATCATATAATTGTATTACGCGCCTCTTTCTCGAGATCAACCTGTAGATGTTCAACGCATGTTACGGCGATAAAACGAAAGTAAAGTAAAAAAGAGCCTTTATAAGCATTACTTTATCCAGAACTTTTTTACATATAAAGAATAAAACATTTTTCTCTACTCCAAACACAACTATCTTTTTTAATCACCTAATGTCGTGTCAGCAAAAGAATCAGTAGGATTCAATAACGGTAAATTATAAAATTTTGAAAAAGTTTGGGAGTTAACAGTCCAACTTAAAGTCCAGTTCGTCTTAAAGTATTTAAATCAAGTCCCTTTTTCTTCGCCGCCGAAGTCGACGCGTGTCTCGTGAAATAAACGGTGAAAATATTTGTGTCTAGCCCGCTTTTACGCAGAACTTCTTTGATCCAACGACTAAGAGATTGAGCTCCAAACAGCCCCAAACGGTTTTTTAAACGATACGAACAGCGAACTTTCTGATCCCCGAATACTCACGGTCCTCGCGATATAACACTCCAAAGCCGAAGCAACACAAACTTTGACGTTTGCTGAATAAAAAAGGGAGCACCAATACTGGTTGATTCCTATTTTCGCTCGATGTCCTTTTTTTTTTATATGTGCAGGAATCTTAATTTCTAATGCATTACTTTTACGCTGAATATTTTCTAATTTCATTAGCGAAAAAGTTTGCATTTGATGACCCGTAGTAAGAGCGAGCAAGATGATAAGTTTTAACGACAAGTCTCTCAAGTTCATTTTCTCATTTGGCAATTAAATAATCTAAAACCATCTTCGGATCCCATACTTAGGACTCAACGGCCTCGATTTACTCATTGGCTTGACAAAATCTTTTTAACCTAAAATCCTGAGCTAGCTCTGGCCCTACGAGCAATGAATTCAATGTGCCCTGAGAACCTGTATTTTCAAATGCTTCTGTCAGAAAAGTTAAAACATCTGAAACAGAATTTGAGTACGGGCTGATTTTTCTCGTTTGGCAAAAAGACCAGTATTTCCTCAAAGCGGAATCATATTGTCTCCATGATGAGTCGCTGAACGATGCCAACAATATTTTCATTGAATCTTTTGGAACCTCCTTCATCTCGAAACCCATCCGGACAAGACTCCTGGAACCAGGGTAAGGTTCTTCAAAAATTTCAACCTGTTCCTGTTGAAGCAAACAACTATACTCGAATTAGGTCTAAACTTTATCGGTTTTGAGATTAACAGGGACTGAAAAATAAGGAACCACGATTGAGAAGGCCACTCAGGTACCACAATGATACCCTTTGATCTCTCGTTCTTAATTTTTTGCAAGACTCGCAGAATGATCGAGAATGGTGAAAAGGTGTAAAAGAAAAAAGGCTTTTATAAATCTTTAGACAATTTATTCAAATTCTCGAACTGAACGCCGCCCATTCTGTTTATGTAAGAATTCGCGGTCGTATTATCAACTCGGAGCAAAATCTGTTTATCGTAGAAATGATCTGCAAAAGATTTCAAATCAAAGAATGCTGCAGACAACTCCAAAAAATTTATATGTCGAGTTTTCTCTTGCGACGACCAGTGACCGTGCGTTCTCTCGTTTGTACTTTTGCAGAAAGCTCCCCAGCCTGGAAGTGAGGTGTCTGTAAATAATTCAAGATCAAACAATGAATTTCTAATTGGGTTAGGAGACACCGAACCAGTTGCCTTCTACCACTCAAGTTCATCCATAACATCTCGAGTGATAGCTATAAGACCCTCGCAATCATCATTATTCTCACGAAGAGCGAGATATTTAGCCCTCTCGAATGCCTTGGTATAAACCATATCGTACTGTACCGCTGGACAGTACGAAACTAAAGTGCTCACAAGTTTAGCGAAATCTCTAATCTTATATTCTTGGTTTACTCTAATCTTTCTGTTTTCGCTTCTGAGCCGAAGTTTCTTTTCCGTCGGTAATTCAACTGTCATCTTAACGGAATCAGACAAAACCGAGAAATTGACAAGTTTTCTTCGGTGTCATCTGACTTTTCTTTTTATTAATGAGAAAACCTAAAGATTCGAGGAACAAACTAGATTTCGTTACATTAATTGAGCATTGCTCAAATGAGTCTCGTATTAAAAGAATGTCATCGATGTAAATGACCGAAATTAAACCCGACTAGCGTAAATAAGCTACTACGGGTTTTAAGATTTTAGTAAACACGCAAGACGCAGTTGACAAGCCAAAAGGCAAACACATGAACTCATAATACTGCTTATCGAAAATAAATCTCAAATACTTCCTATGAGATACATGGATCGGAATTGTATAATAGGTGTCCTTAAGATCAAGAGTTGTCAAGAAAGAATCGGAACCTAATAACTTTGAGGCCGTTCGATCATCTTCGAGTTTAAAATGAGTGGTTTCAACAAACTGATTCAGAGCCTTCAAGTTTAGAACAAACCTACTGGATCCATCCGATTTAGGCACTAGATAATAACTCGAGACAATTGTCCCTCACTCGAATGACACGTCTGAACTGCACCTTTAACTATTAATTCGTCAATGAATTGACTGATTTTAAATCACGATCTGTTTAATTTTCGAGCAAAAAAGGATCTTATAACCCCTCAACCAAGACACAACTTTTTCGTCAGTGGTTATATCTTCCCATTTACCTTGAAAGAGACCGAGTCTACCGACTATAAGGCTTACACCAAGCTCTAACGTCTCCTCAAGTGTTCCCGATCTCGATTCCGATCGCGATTGCGTCTCTGGTAGCGAGTTTTCTGGAAAGTTTGCGGCTGCTTCTTTTATAACAAGTGATACCTCGGCTTCTGCCCGTCCGACGCCGCTGGATAATTCCTGGCCTGACGTTGACAAGTTTTTTGCAAGTTTTTTGCTTGTTTCGAAGATTGCGATCTTTGAGCGACTTTGAGATCTCTGCAAGAGATTTCCATCGTTTTTGCATTTTTCAACACTTCTTCCAAATTGTTCTGAAACAAGAAATCTCCGCAGCCTGACGCGTTGACAGTGTCTCGAAGAGATGCGTTGATATTGGCTAATATCAAGCTTCGACGAACAAAAGACTCATCGTGCTGCAGATCCGCCAATAGCTGGATCAAATCTAAAGTGCTGTCTTTAACTAAAGACAGCATTTTAGGATTGTCTTTCCCCTTCACAGCAATAGACATTGCTTGCATTGCGAGAGCCAAAGAAACAGTAATCTTTTCCTGTTTCTTCCGAATGCGGTCATCCCTTTTCGGAATCAACTCCTGGACAACAAATTTGAACTCAGGATTTAGTTTAGGAGGATCAATGGACGTACAGTTTTTAGGAGGTGGATATTTCTTCAGAACCTTTACTCTAATTTCCTCCGACAGGCCCTCCTTAATAACATCTTCGCAGCGTATCACCAGATCTTTATGAACTGGAGGAGCGAAGACTCTTTCTTCGCAGATACGCTTACCAAAAATATCTAAAATATCAGAACTTAACGCAGCTTCTGTGTTCAATATCGCTGGCTCACTTAAATCTACCGGTGGCACATGATCGACAGGGATGTTCCGTAGATTTGTTAACTGATTCGTGGAATCCAGCAAAACCCGATGCATCTGACTTGCCTGCCTGTCATCTGCTGGGTTATCTTCTTGTTCACTCCTATCTGGAGGAACTGAAGAAACACACCGATCCGAACTAAAAGATCTCGCTCTGGGATATCTGGAACGGTCACGATCTGGAAATCCAGACCGACAATAATAGGTTAGTTCTAAATATTGTTTCATGTTTCTCATATTCAAAATATGAGTAACTTTCATAGCAGGTTAGAGCCTGATGAAAAAACTCGCAAAATTCTTCGGAATCAAAGAAAAAAATTCATCTCACGAGAATCCATAAAAGTGAGGAAAAAAGGAAAAAAGACACTCGTAGATTAGTGCCTACGAGTGAACAAACTTGACATTTTACAGGTTAGAGCCTGTTGTCAACAAATTGCGAGATACATTCTTCTTTTTCTTCTCCCTCTTTTTTTCTTTTTTTTTTTTTACATTTAGGTTAGAGCCATAAATGAGAAAAAAGAAAACGGTAAATTAGAACAAAAATCAGACAAACAATCTAACAATCTTACATCCGCTCGACGACAACTCGTCAGTGACCGCATCACTCGATCTATTCCTGCGACGATGGCTCTTCCTCTTCTTTTTCTTCCTCAGCTTTCTATTTTCCTTTTCCAACTTCTCAAGACGTCTCTCGAGATCCTTATTTTGGTTTTCCACATCGGAAAAATCTCCTTTATCACTTTTGCGAAACATTTACTGCAGGTAAATGGGTACTACAGGTTGATCTCGAGAAAGAAGCGCGTAATACAATACAGTTCAATCGTTTTACTCCGAGTTATGAATAAAAGGAGACATGTATCGATTCCGTTTTTGTGTATGAAACGGAACATAAATCATCTATCCAATTGTTTGAAATCCTTATTAGCAAATTCAAATATAATTACTCCACTTCAATAAATATGAATTTTTCACAACATATCTCATTGCGTGCGTTCCTTCTCGAAAAATGTTGTATTCTAATTAATAGCTGATAGTGTAATATCACCTAATCACACGAACTTTCCATACAGCCTGATACTTTTCCGAGTGCGTGACGTCGAGTGACTAAAAATGAATTATTTCGAGAATATTTCCACAAACAACCGTTTCGTGCTCTCGGTTGCGTTTCATTCCCTGTTTTCGTTCTACTTTCCTCGAGTTACGTCCTCGGCTGAAACAAGTCGGAGCACGAAACTTCGACACAATTTCCACATTTAGAGCCTTCCACGAGAGGTATACTTACGTATGAATAGTGTTGTATAGAATTCTAGATGACATTTGACCCCTTCGCTTATTTCACAATTCAGTACTTTCGATTGCGCGCGAAAAAAATAGGGTTCTAAATATCAGTGCACCGAGGAAGTACGAAATCCTTATGTTCCTTGGATAATTATCTTCGGAAAAGATTGCCGTTTACCGATGACAAGTCAGTTGAACTGTTTTTATACGGAGGATGTCAACACATTTATAGCATAGGAGAACTCTTTAACCCTTTCAACTCGATTTTTATTTGAATTCTATTCGTTTCTCATTTAGAAGATATAAAAGAAGACAGAATTCAACGAGCAAATGATATTGTAAAATCGAATTTATTCCTGCAAGAATAAGTCACCGAGTCCTGCATTCTGTACTCTGGCGCTCTCTATTATTCAAACTTTTAAATGAAATCAGCATGAAATAATTAAGTAGCAATGAAAAAGTAATTTACTTTCTTGGTGGTGGAACAAAGATGAAGAAAATATGACCATCGTGCATGAGATACAATGAAGAGATTAAGAAGTAAGGTCTTTGGCTAAGGTCTTGACATTTAAATAAAATAAAATAAAAGTGATAATAATTAGTTGATCAAAGTGTAATACACTTAAACATTAACCTCTGATATAATTCTGACCACTCGAGTTTAAATTATGTATAATCCTCATATAGCATGATTAATTCGATTATGTTATCTCGGATTCTATAGTGGAATGGGCGAAAGAAAGTTTGAAAATGACGTTTATATATACGAATATCAATAACTTCCATAGTAGGGATTTTATATCGTTTTGTATTGTTGGTAATACAATCCCCTCACTCCATATAGCATAGATATTCTTTTTTTATACGATTGTATTTACATGGTACATACATATTTCATAAGATTAGAGCTGCGGACAAAAGTAAGTTTAACATTTTCTATATAATAATGACATCGTAAAGTAGCAAAATAGCAATACATTGCTTTTAATAATCACTCGTGTCTTTGGACATACGGATTAATATTTAAATAAATTAGAAACACATAAAATTTCACTCACAGGAGCTAAACAAATTTTTGACAAATACAAACAATATAGTTTAGCCAATAATTTAATCAAATCTGGCAGACTGAGGGGTACTTCGGTAAGAGATAATAAGATGATATTTTGCGAAATGAAATAAAATTTTTCCGCATTAGAATATGTTTAATATATTAAAAAAATTTAGTTAATAGTGTATCACACATCGTGATAGATAGTACAGGAGAACATATATGTTTAGTATGCTAAATACTGACAACAATTTGCATATACAGGGTGTCCAAGCCTTAGTGATATAGCGCTCTAACTCCAAAACTATCGGCCGAATGCAACATTTCAAATATGGAAATTAGATGGTAAAGTGTTTCAGCGAAAAGGGATTTTTGTTAACTTTGTTATTTAACGAGATATAATGGTCAAAAACTCGGTTCGGACCCGGGCGGTCCCATTGATGCGGTAAGCACCATGGGGTTCTTGAAATCAATACGGAGGGTCTCGCTTGGGATTCCAGGCCCAAGGAAGGAAAATAGGAATAGTATTACCTACCTAGAGAATTCTCGGCGCTACAAGTAATGCATCAGTAACAGTCATTACTTTTCCCATTTTCCTTCCTTGGGCCTGGATCGCAAGCGAGACTCTCCGTATCAATCTCAAGAATCCCATGGTGCTTACCGCATCAATGGGACCGCCCGGGGTCGAACCGAATTTTTTCCTTAAAAATTAGCAAAATTTGAAGCGTTATAGCTTGAAAACTAATAAAAATCGGGTAAATACATTAAAGCTTAATGAATTCGTCTTGAAAAGTACCCTCGTATGGTATAACAAAAAATATATAGTTCCATTTGAAAAACGAAACTTGACCATCATATTTCGTTAAATAACAAAGTTAACAAAAATTCCTTCTCGCTGAAACATGAACCCCACTTTACCATACAATTTTCATATTTGAAATTTTGCATTCGGCCGATAGTTTTGGAGTTAGAGCGCTATATCACTAAGGCTTGGACACCCTGTAGAGTGGGTGTAGAATGTATTCGTATACCGATCAATTTCCCAAAAAAACTTTTGTGTGAAATTGTAGTTTCTTAACTGCTTTCTTTATAATCAATGATATTTTACATATTCTCAGAAGTCCCTAAAATCGATATAGTCCAAACAACATTTACTAGTTACTATAATTTGTGAAATTAACAAAAAAATGCGAAAAGTGGGTAAAAAGTATAGAAGCAATAAGTATTTGCACGATTCTTATGACGAACCATTTACAGCAGAGTTTGTAAAGTAAACACATTAGTTTATCGCTCCGTACGAATTAGAAAACATCAAATTTCCAGTAAAGTACTTTTTAACAGTTGTGCGAATACTTGTTGCTCCAACATTTCTATCGATTAATTGTTTTTTTCTTGATAATTTCGCAACTTACATAAATAGCTATTTTTTGTTTTTGTAATCTATCTATTCTAGAGATTTCCAAGAATATGTAGAATGTCATTGTTTATAAAAAATAAGTTAATAAATTACGATTTTACACAGTTTTTTTTTTGGAATTGATCGGTGTACGAATACTTTCTACATCCACTGTAATTATAAACAAGATAATTACAGAAGCATGTACTTAAACTTACTTTTGCCCAAATAGTATCTTGTCTCATTGTTTCGAACAATACACACATTTACCTCATTGCTATTTGTTTTCTTGCTTGTATTACTTTGTACGAGGTATTGCTCGTAAAATATAGCTTCTTTTGGACTATTATCGTGTTCTTTTCCTATTTGTTATCCTTTAAATTTTCTTTTGTCCACCACAACATGTGCAAACGTGAAAATTCTATTTTCAAAAGGAAAGTAAGAAAATTATTTTTGCTTAAATGATCCACACCGACATTTAAAAAATAAAAATTTCGCAAAGAAAATTCGATACTTTAACGATGAATTAAAACTAATGAATATAAACTTGAATTATTCACGATTAAAATAACAAACATTTCGAATACAAGGTCTTGAAATCCCTAATTTTTATCGTCACTTTCGTTTAAAAATGATGGTGCCTTAACATTGTTTCAGAATGAAGCAAGAAAAAATTGAGGTTTCAGTTAAGACTTGCACTTGAGGAAGACAATGGTACATTAAATGTATAATACATATTATAAATGCGTACATTTATGTATTACATAACATATTAGTATACATGAAAAATAATAATCCCAACATAAAAACAATCATAATTTTGTTTGAAACGCGCAACAGATCGCGAGACATTTCTTCATTTTGTTTGAGTACATTGTAATTGTACGAACGTGTAAAATGGTGCGCTTTATATACAGTATATAATTACTTAATGCTTAATAAAAAGAAAGGGTGCATTATCTTCGCACGTACGTCGTAACTTGTACTTCAAGAATCATAAACTTGATAAATTTTCGTGAATGCCGCATCCAGAGTTTTCCTCCATGCTTCTGCAACTTCCGGTGTGAATTGTTTTCCCAGTGCTTGGCGAAGAACTTCTAATACCACGTCCTTCAAATTCTAGAAACCAAAGAAAATGGTTCACATACTTTCATCGATTGGTTTCATTATTGGTTTGTCTATTTATTAGATAATTAAAGTGATTCGAAACCGTGCCATTCACTTTATAAGCTCGAATAATAACGTAATTTCACACTTTCCATTATAGTATAATAATTATTATATTGATATATTATAATTTTGTTAAAATAATAAGTTTTATTTAATACCTATTTAACCTTTAATTTCTACTTTTTTCCGTGTATCCTTCATTTCTCTATTATTTACTTTTTAGAAAAGGACATTTTCTTTCGTATTCTTCGGTTACCTTCTAAATTATCCTTAATTTTCTAATTTTTCGTAAATCGACTTTATTTTTAATATAAGTAATTTTTCGTAAATCGACTTTATTTTTAATATAAGTAATTATTAAAAAGCACTATAACATACGAGAATTTAACAAATGCTTGTAACAAATTCTATTATAATTTCACATTAAGTTTACATTCCATAAGCAATCGTCTATTAAACAAATATTTGAAACAACCTGTATACTGATTTCAAGTTGGATATATGTTCCACAAGCAATAATCTACGGAATTAGAATTATCATCATCTGCAGTTCCTTGTTCCACTATAATAGAAAGATTCTCTGCCTAAAGCATTTGTTTTTCGTGCAGAATGAATAACTTGAAAATTCTACATCCTTTCCAAACGTAGAGTATAAGAACAAGATATCTAATATAATAAAAGTATTTGGAGAGCAATTTAACTTGATAAATATAAATACCGACATTTCTTTATCGAGATATCTGAAATTCGGGATTTATATTTGTGAAATATGAATAAATGATGAAACAATATTATATTAAATTAAAATATACTTTAGCTAACTTTTCATCGACCAATTAGCAAATGTTAGAATAAAACACAGATCACATATTTGAGAAATATGATTAAACGAAAGAACATTTATTAAATTGAAGAAGTAATAAGGATTATTATATTATTATAAATTATTATTATAAATGTTAATTCGTGCAACTCCGTTGAATAGTACTAATGTGGTTGATTTTCTATTGTTACTATCGTATTCCTACCTGAAATTCTTCTTTTCTCTGGCCGCGAATTTTATGCCTCTCGGCCAAGCCGATTAAGCTTGCCTCCATTAATCCTGGGTCGTGCAAGGAATCGATAACATTACTTAAGGCCGTAATTACACTAGCACAATGAGCCTGAAACCTTTTATTATCTGGCAGTTCATCTATTGGAGTGTCCTTGAAGGCACTAAAGTACCGCTGATATTCTGGATATTTTGTAAAAAATCTGAAACGAATAATTGATTAAAGCTTTTAAAGGGTTGACAATATTTGCAAAATAAGAGTTGCTTCGGATAATATAAAAAATGTGTTAATTTACGTAAAGTTGATATTGGCTGGTAAATTTTGTAATTTTTGTTATTCTTGATGTTTCAAATTTTGTTTTAAAATCAGTCATGAAATTTAAACGATCATTTATACATTATCAAAAACTATATGGTTGAAACAGCGTGCGTACTAAATTTTATTTAAATATGTAGATCTTTGTAATCGTTATAACCAATCACACACAGCACCTCGAAATACTAACAATACAAGACAAGAGTCCAATCATAAACTTAGAACCAATCTAAAGAATTAGAAAATAAAGTAAAATTAATATAAACTTATCAATAACAACAACTATTACAGATTGTAAGAACTTTCTCTTATTGGATTTCCGAGAATGCAGTAATTAGTAATTGCAATAGATAATAAGTAAAAACATTTTTTGTTAGCTGATTAAATTGTTTCTCAAAACACTCCATGAGATTGACTACAACTTTTCTAGAAATAACAATTTACAATAGATTTAAACATTTTCTGGTGCAAGATAAAATTCAGCAAAAGTTCCATTCAACTTCGCGAGATACACAGAAAATCGTTTTTTAATTCTTTTTCAAGGCGTTATTTATAGGGATTTATTCTCACAGAACGTTGACGTTTCATTGTCACACGAATAGGATATGATTAACATAAACGTGCAACGATTCATCAAAACCCATTTGCACACAGTAGAATGAATACAAAATGAGTTACATGGTACTTCAAGAATTAAACAGGACCGTGGTGAAGAAACTAAGTTTCGTAAGTATTGTTCGTAGTAAAACATATAACAAAAATATACATGTTTTACACTAAATCAATAAATTTATAGGAAGATGTTGTAGAATAGATGTTACATCACTGTGATAACATTAAGGTTATCAATAACTCTACGCGAACGTTCCGTTCTATAGTATTGAAAATATCTTTCTTTTAACACGGCATCTGAGCACGCAAACATTATTATCATATGTGAAACTTATTGTTAATTTAAAAAATTTCGAATAATTAAGAATATTTTCGAAAAACTTTATTAAAGATGTAAAATCCTACAGTCGTAAACAAGCATCATTAGTATCTTGAATTTTATTTCATAAATTATTATAAGTTCGCAGATATTACCAGCAAGGCTCGGATAATCCAGTTTCGTCAATTATTTTTTAGTTTCAACTACTTTCCACTTTTTCTGCATTTATATCGTCATCAATAATTGGGTGGATCTATTCTAAATAATGCTACTATAGATATGAAGAAACTTCAATATTTACGCATCCTCTATATGGATTTATACGTCCAATTCGATATTCAAATATCATTCTATGTGTTTACTATTTAAACAATCAACTACAGTCAATTATACTGTGCAAATAGCTACCCTCCACGTTCTCAAACCTTGTTAAAATCATTTTTTCGGTCTTTTTATCATTTTTAGATTCAACATTATTACACACTTTCATGATCTTAATTTTGCAGTTTCAATTTTATTGTTTATAAGTCGTAATAAAAAGAATTTGGAAAGATGAGTCGACACATTAATAACAACGCTATTTTAGACTACAAACTTGCCTTCATTATATGTATACATATAAACTAGTCTATTAACATCTCTCGCAAATATTAAATTCAAAAATATAATAATCTCTCTGAAACATATTGAACCTCTTTCGATTGAAGCACTTGAAATTAACAAAAAATTTAACAAATAAAAAGGTAATGTACATGCACAGACGAGCTACATGATTTGCATAACCAACTAATGTTATATTAGAAAAAGTCAAATTCAATGTTATGATACGTAATGTTCCAGTGAATTGATAACCCTAATAGATTACAGCAATAACGTATTGGTCTTCACAACAGTACAAAAGTAACATATGTACCATGCTATTGCATTTGTGGTCGAATTGGAAGAAATGTATAACTATTACAAGTTAGCCACAGACGAATATAACTTTTACATTTCGTGCATAACATTTTTATCACGTAATTATAACTGTTGACTTTTCTTTCTTCTCTCCTTTATTAATTTAATATGACCAATAGTTTTGTAGAATTCAGCTACACAAGTTTCTTGATACAATCTACATATATATAATATATAAAGGACTCCTCAGAAAAAATTATATCTTACATCGTGCTTGCAACTTTTATATAAATATTTCATCTTTTAATTTGAAATTATGAGTTAAGTTAAATTTAGTATCAACCCTCGGTTTTGAAATTTCACAAGTAAGTTCTTATCATCACCTATACACAAATATTGATTAAAATTGGTACACGTATATCACGTTTAGATTATACATTGTTACATATCGAGTCAATGCGTACAATTGTTGGCTGTTAATTCTTGAAAAAAGTTGTTCCTGACAAAGTCCAGTAACCGCGTTTCAAGTCCGTAAATCGTTTTGCCTTTCGTAATTTAACATTAAATTTGCAAACAAACAAAACGTTTTTCTCATAGAAATTTTAATACACTTCTGAGTGATAAAAATTGTGAAGCAGCAAAAATTTATCGAATTGCAATTTAAATAGGAGAGATTTATGTTCAGTTTCTTATTTTGAATAAAATATCACTTACGCGGTCATCACGGCAATACCAGAGCCAACTTCGTCCTTTCTTATTACGGCCCATGTGTTCTGCACTAATTTCTTTTGTTTCTCCGTCAACCCTGTCGCCTGATCTATTCGATTATCGTCCGTCGAGATCCCGAACAAACGTAGAAAGGTCCCCATGCTCATAGACTGGAATTTTCAAAATACCTTTCGCAAAAAGAAAGTTAAATTTAAAGAGAAATTAAATTAGAGACAATTAAATTTAAAAAGGATTCAATTAAATTTTGTTCACAATAGAATTCCTTCTTGAAAACAATTTTTTCAAACGCTTGAACTCAAGCTTCGTGACGAAGCAAAACAGCTTTGCGAAATGGTTCGAAATCACAAGATCATTGCTTACATAAGTACTAAGTAAGCTGCGGATTTTTATACAATTTTAGAAAATTTGAATGTGCAAGAAACTGCAAAGTAAACTAAAGTAAAGTAACGTTTACGTTTATAAAATTCTTATTTAGGTTCAATTCCTGTAGCTATATTTGCAAAGATTTTTTTACACATTATTTCGCATAAAGATCCGCAGTTTAATAATGAGAAATAACATTTTTAACAAGTTGTGTTATATTTGCATAAATCAATATAAAACAAAAGGATTGTAGTAAAGTGCTTTTTAAAAGAGGGTTTAAGATTTTGTTTTTAAACATATTGCCAACTTATTGGAGAAATCTTCATTTTTGGTACGAAATATATGCATAGTAAACGTGTTTGTGCTAACTGCATGCAATCTAAACTCAAAAATAATATCGACAGATATTAGGTAAGAGTTAATTTTCAAAAAATCTACATATGTAATATACGTACATATATTAAGTTCGATATATTCAAATATTTACATGTTTGAGATGAATTATGTTGCTAGTGTTACGTGAATTTCCAAGTCCATTTCACCAAGTCCAGTTTATAAGATTTTCTATTTGCATTCAAAAGAAACACTTTTTTACACATTATTTTATTAGAAAAAAATAATTTTTAATAATAATAATAAAATTACATATGAAATGATCTTATTAATAGGTATATTGCACGAGTTATACAAGTTTAAGTTTAAGTTAAATCATGTTATGGCGTGTAGTTTATGAAAACTTGAAGTTGGCAAAATGTTAATAACAACATACGTAATCGTAGTGGATATGTAAAGTGTATCATTTTTCACGTTTAATTGTAATCATGTGTACTTTCATTTGAAATAAAAATTTCCATATCACTTACGTTTTATTAAAAAACAAAATGTTAAAATCTCTTCTAGAAAACCCTTTACGTTAGATTATAAGAATTTTAATTAAAAGTATCCATTATTTTACAAAACCACGAGGAGTTTCTAAATAATACAAAAAGTAGAATTTTTAAAAAGAAGACAATTCAAAAATCTTGCCCGCTCCCGTTAAAATGATAAATTTAATTTAAATCGTAAAAATTGTTTGCTATTTGTAAACACACTACTTAAAGCTCGTAACGATAAGCACTATATTTCATTGTCTAATAAAATATATTACTTAGACACATATGATCACAAAGAAAATGGTTGTATCTCTGAATGAAGAACCCTTCCTTAGTAGAAAGTGGCACTCTCTTTCCGTTATCCGTGAAATACGATGAGTACTTAATTTAATGGAAACCAATGTCCACTGGGAAGAGTTAAGAAGAAAGTGTCCCAAAACACGCATGAAATCTAATTTCGTTACACCGACATCTACATTTCAAATAAACAAAGGGTCGAGTTTTTACTCATATCGTAATTTGCTCGTCGAGGTACCCAATTTCTGATTTTTTAAATCCAACCATTAACACAAATATATATCACTTTCACAATTTCACTGAGAATAATGCAATACAATAACAACGTAAATTACTCGTGGCCAAATAATTAAAATAAATTACTTCTCAGCACTATTACTGCATAAATTAATTTCGGGATACAGTTAGTTATGAATGTATAATAGAATAGCGTCGGTTTTCGAATTGGAATTGTTTGATTTTTAGCCGCTTGTTACATACTTGTAACTTCGAACCACTATGCGCGGTGGGATTCGTGAACGAGAAACTGGAAAAACGGAGTTAACAAGGATTCAGGGGGATCGTTGAGTGGATCGATCTGTCTGGATCGCGTCGCGTATCTCCTGTTATTAGGGGGGGCAAGCGGTCGATTCGAGTCACTGCAATTACCGTAATTCTGTATGACATATTACGTGCCACCGGCACCGTCGTTTCAATTTGCTCAATCGCTGACACAGTTGGACGACGACTAACTCGCTCTTCGAGCCCGACTAACCGCTCTGCCTATCTAATGCTATTTTAAATCTATCCCCTCCACTTTATCGCCCGCTATTAATGCCACGCGTTTAAATGATTAAAGGATTAAACCCTCTTTACACCGATCAGCAATCAACTGGTTAAGTCGATTAACCAATTTCTCTGCTTAACGCATTGGTCGCTGAACCTTTCCCTTGGATGCTGATCGCGGTCGATGGTTCGATCCAGTCAGTCTAGATCAGAGATAGGGACCACTCAAATAATAGACAACGATAAGAAACATTCCAAAGCGATTCATTCGCAATGTTAACTCCTCCACACATGACTTTTTTTTTTAATGAAAAACAAAATTAATTTTCAATGGATATATACTAACAAGGGAAGTTTAGCAATTGATACATTTTGAAAATTTCAAGTTTTTACAGAAACAAAGTTCATGGGAATCAAATCACAGTGCCTTTTCCATTTTGTCTCAAAACGATTTTAAGGGTGGAAATACTCCGTAATAATTCTAGTTATTTATAGTTTTGCTAATATCTCTGAAACCATAAGAGATATTAAACATTTTTAAATACAAAATTTAATGACTTTTAACATTCTACAACACCAAAGTAAAAAAGTAAAAAGAAAATTATTTTTAATAATTCTCTCGGCAGAAATCTTTCTGCCACCCGCTACATAAGAGTCGTGTTCGCAATTTTGTGGACGTTTTCATACTGTTCAACTTTTGTTTAACAAATTCTGTATGTACTGTGTGCCGGATTGGCCAGAATTCTCGACTAAAATGTAAAAAAAATCAGAACTCTTGATTGGGTTAACGGATTTAAATTATAAACTATCGAATGAGTTTATTTTATAGTACTTCTTGGCGGAAAATTATGTAAAAAGTTGCCTAATCTTACCAAATTCATAGCTTTCTTAATAATAAACATTTTAGATTGAAACTTTTTTCCAATTTAGATCTCATGGAATCCTATAAAAAACATGTCGAACATTTTTTCTAAAATAAATACTCAATTTTCTAAAATTGAAATCAATTTGTAAATTCAAGAAATGTTATTGAAAAATAAATACATTTTTGTAAAAATGTATTGTACATTCTTGTAATAAAAAATAAACATTTCCATAAGAGCCTCTATGCCACTAATCGGTCGACGTTTCAAGTCATTAGAAGTTTAATGTGATTGAAATAGACATTGGTAAAATACAAAGTTTTGATCCAACGTTATTTGAAAAGAAACAATTAGTAATAAAGCTTGCTGTTAGAAATTTAACAAACATATTACTTTATCGAAGACTAACAAATATAACTTTATAAGGAGATTGAGAATGAAACATATGCTATGATCCAAATTATTTGGAAAGAGACAATGAGTAGTGATAAAACTTACTGTTACAGTCGTAATAAATATTCATTAGTGTATTGGTCTCTGAGCCACGAGGTGTTATTATTTTTTCTACCAATAGCTGAATTTATTTAGCTTCCATTCGTTATTCCCAATTGTTTTCTAGATAAGTATTTTATCCTCGTTTAGCCGAAACAATTGAGCCAAAACGATCGTTTTACTACGCTCTGAATTGTTCGTCGATAAAGGACACGTGTTTAATCGTCGAGAACCAATTACGGTCTAACTCGACTAACTTGAAGCGCCAAATTTGTCACTTTAATCGATTAACCTTGCACGATATCGTCACTCCACTTCGATTAAATGGTAATCGTTTTATTTAGAAGATATTCATACTACAAATTGATCACATTTTTGGATACAGGGGTAGGTTTTCTAAATAACACCACCCTCGACATTTTTTCAAATTGTAGCATTTCTAATAATAACATTAATTGACGTAACTAGTCGTGACTAGACTACTTAGTGACGTAACTAATGAAGTGTAAGAAATTTTTCTTTTAATTAAAAAGAAAATTGAATGAAAACAATTTTCTTTAGTTTGAAAAGTAATTAAATTAAAGAAATTTATTTATGAATGAAACAAATACAATAGATACAAAATAATAATAGATACAAAACTTTCACTAGTTCGTTAATTCGAAAATATCGAGATGAAACAATGAATCTCAACCGTCAGGTTATCTGATGTTTTGCAATGAAACGTGCAATGATTTAGGAGTATGTAACTTCTTCGAGACGAATGCACACCTGACAGGTGGCAATATTGCAACATCGAATCGCACACTTCGCATTAAATACACGTACAAATTATAAAAATAATAAGGCACTAACCTTGCGTTCTATACTTTGTACATCGCGACGAAAATATGTTATTTGTTCATTAGCCACTAGTAATGTAGAAACGCGGATTAATTCACTTTACGAGGAATTACAATACCCTTCCAAGAAATAGAAATTGATTCGAAATTGCACGAATAGAACCGACCGGTAGCCTACTAATCGGCTTCTTGGCATAACAACAAATGCTTTGTTATCTATTATTGAAATAGCATTGTATAATCCCATCATTATTTGCATAAATTATGAAATTTTACATGAATACTAATCTGAAAACAATTCTAAGACGTAAAATAAACATTTTATGATACTAATGTTATTAAAATAAAAGTATTATTAAATTTCATTGTATGTCAAATCGCTATCTGTCGGTAAATTGTTAGGCAGCAATGTTGGATCATACACATATACTTAAAGTGTTGACGAAAGCTACAATAGTGTGTAAAGCTACAATTCATCTTTTCCTCTTTTATCATGATACATCTTTTCTATTAACGAACTTGTATACCCAAAATCGTATCCATGCACATAAATGAATATTTTAAAATACATGGATTACCCCATTATGGCTTTTACCCCCTCATTTATTGAACTTTTCGAACATATAGTTCATAAATTCTATTTAATAGTATATATAATATATAGAAAAAGAAACATTTTGAGAAATGTTTCACGATGTTACAGTGGGTTTGTAAATGTAAATGAAACACTTCTCAATAATTTTTTTCTATTATGCATACATGTATCATAGATTCAAGTATCCTGTACTGTTATGGAGGATCAAAAATATACAGGGTGTCCCAAAAGTCGGGGAGGAGCCGGAAATGGGGGGT